TGGTTTTATTAAAAACTTTTGTTGTTAAAGATAGGTTTTACAGCTTATTTTTATGCTTGAAAAGAGGTTCTTTCTTCTAGACAATAACAAACAGATGAAAAGATAATTAATTAATTAGCTGATTAATCAATTAAACAAACAGAAAGGCTAGGAGTCAAGTTTTATTGGCTTGTTGGAAACTTCTGCTGTAGGGTGACGCGCTTTGGAGTAAAATGGGACTTCGAGTTAATCAGAAAGCAAATATGTCACTTATTGTACTGAAGGTTTCTTAAATGAATTTTTTTTTTTTTTTAAGCTAGGATTCGCATATGCGACGTCCGAACGAGATTTTGCAGGTTTGCAAATGTCGGCAAGATGAAGAGAAACCGATTTATTCAGGAGGTGCTTACAAACAGCATCGTTCAGCACGACGTGTTCGAGAACATCTTTGAAAAAATATCTGTTTGGCAGGTGTTAACTATTAATGTTCTGTGTTCGTATTTTTTAATTTTAAATTTTCGTAAACAATCTCTAAGTGAACATCATTTATGCGTCCACGAGGTTGTTGAACAGAAAAATGCTTGCTGAAATCTTTAAAAACGTTGTTTCAAGTCTGCGCTGATGCCAGCAGTTTTTTTTTTTCACCTTAGATTGAAGCTACAAATACTGCTTGATGACAGAGCTTGGTTGTAGTGCAGTCATTCTTTGATTATTAATTATGAAACGTTAAATATCCATCTCTTTTCCTTTTGCAGCAAGTTGTGCTGTTTTATTAACCTAAATTTAGTATCTGACTTATTTTCAGTTTTTTTCAATTTACCTTATCACCTAACCTATTCAGTATTTCTTTCCAGGTGGTTGTATGGTAACAACAAAAAGTTTTGTCGTACATATTCTTACTGTACTTTGTAGAAGATGCACATTTCTTTGAGTCACACATCAAAGACTCAGAAGTTAATGAAATCATTCTTTGAGTAAGTCCTAATTTGATGAAATTTTTTTCATTTACTTTTATTCTTGAACAAAGTTCGGGTGTCGAAGGCAAAAGGAGCACAAGTGAAATTAGTTGGTTCTTTGGTTATAACTGTCAGCTATTTGTTGATCGGTTCACTTGCGCTTTTAAGTTATTAATTATGTATTTTTGTTTTTTGTTTAGGAACCAGAATTTTTAAAGTTGAACTGAAATTACTTAAAGTTTTCACTGATGGCAACAATTTCTTTTTAGTCTGGTTTTTGCTCTTCTTTTGCTTATTTTTAATTGTCAGATTAATTTTTGAATGCGTTTAGCGCCATTATTTTTGATAAATGAGTTCAACGGTTAACTTTATCTTTGGAATCACTTATTCAATAGTACTAAAAAACATTAGAGAGTCGATAACTATACTTTGATTAATAATATTTTATTTATATTAATTCATATCTTTTTTCTTTTTTGTCAAACCATATTTTGTTGTTGTGGAGGAAGAAACAGAATAAAACTAATACTTATTCTCTACAGTCTTTATTTGGGAATTATTTTTTTTGTTCCTGTAAATTTTCATTCGCTTCAGCCATTTTCATCTTAAAATTTTTTCACAATATTACGAATGAGTAGTCAAAGAAAATATAAGCATTCTTCTAAAGGTTAATTTTGTTATTGAATGTAAGTTGCAAGCACAGTCTATCAAATAGCTAATGTTTTAAAACTTCTATTTAAACTTTAGATCCGTATTTGGCAGTGAGGAAAAAAGTTTTTTTGCGTCAAAATTAAGGATAAGAGAATTTGTTTAAGAAATTAGGAAGGACTGGTACCGCAAATAAATGGGAAAAATAATGAACTTGTTGCTGATAGAATACTCTATTTGATTAAATCACAGGGACTTTAGAATGATTGCATTGCAACAAAACGTTGTTAAAAAGTAGTTCTTTGTAGCTGCCGAATTCATTTTCTTTTTCTAGGGTTGACCTGCATTTAAGACTTTGGATTTTTATTTTACAGTAAACCTTTTAGTTCTCTTAATTAAACTGTTCAGTTATTATTTCTCTCTCTTCAATATGAGCAATTTCAAGAATAATTGCATTTTATAATAGTAGGAAAAACCAAAGGAATTATGCATGTAGTTCGCACTTTTTATTTGCTAATTTATTGAAGATTGTTTGTTTTGGTGTGAGAAAATAAATGGGTTTGGAGAAAATTTGTTAAGAGTAAAAGAGGTTAAGGTAATTTTAACTAACTTGTTGGTCACCACTTTCTATTGCTTGACCATCTATGATTTGATTTTTAAATTCCGAAAGCTCATCGATGGTTCCATTCAATGCCACTACGACGAACTGAGTTTTTGAGGCAATAATAGCGTCAAAATATTCAATTGCATCTGTAATATTGACTCCTGGACCGGAAGCCATCAAGATTAATTTGACATCTGTACCATTCAGAAGCGTCGACTCAGTTATCTGTTTCAATGTACTGCAAATGTATTGAGTGAAAGAACTACTCTTCTCTTTGAAGAATCATATTTGAAATGTAAAGTAAAGGAGAAAAAGAGTTGAAGTTATGGAAATTTATTTCGCTAATAAGTTATGGGTAATTAAAAAAGAGAGATTTGTTGCTCTCCTTTGTTTTTGGTTTATTCAGGGCAAGAAAGATTTCTTCAACAGCTTGCTTTTGAAGTCAAGTGATCAAATGCGGCGAATTTTTATCAAGAAGATTAACAATTTTACAGGGCAATTTTTAGTAATTAAATAAAAAAAACAAATAAGTATAAAAGGTTTTTTGAATATAATAGTTTTGTCAGCAGTTTACACACTGTGTATAATTACGGAATTATCGAATATTAAGCTTACTTGGCAATTCGTAATTCTTCAAGTGGAAATTGAAAAGTGGATAATGGTGCTAACAGGGCGTATTCAAGCTCTTCGGTGACGCGAGTTGGATCGTCGACAAAGTTTTCAACGTCTGCACTGCAGTAGTAGGCATGTGGTATTATGGCAAAACGTTGCTTTCTTTCGGTTTGTTTCGTGACTAATTTTGGGAGAAGTTGAAGTTCTGTGAAATCGGTTTGCTGAAACAACAATACGCTTCTAGGTTGTGATGAACATGTAGTTTTATATTCAATTTAGAAGTGTAAGAAACGGGCTACATGAAAAATTTGCGAATTATTAGTGTTAGTGAAAAAAATTCATTGTGGAACTGTTGTTTAACCAATAAAATTTGTGACATTTTTAAGAAACTGACTGTATATTTGAGTTGAAGAGTAATGTGAGTGATTGTTTGTCTTTCTTATAAGAACTGGATTTTAAAAACTAATATACAATTTTTTTAAAACATCTTTTTTTTGGTGTTTTCGACGGGTGCCGGAGACATTTTAAAAAGCTTTTTTCTTTATTGGCAACAGTTGCAGTTGTCTACTTTTGTTCGGGTACGGTGTTCTCGTAGTTTAAAATTAAAATCTACGATAATGAAATGTTAGGAGAGGTGATTAAAGTAATTGCAGAGGTTACTTTTACTGTGTGGCAGTTAAGATTTTAATAGCCGATTATCCCCATAAATAGTTATGTAAAAAAAGATGACTGAAGAATTTCTAATAATTTTAATATGTAATTTTTTGAAACTGAAAAAGGCTTACAGTTTTTGTTCTGGAAAGTTCTGCACCAGATGCATCTACAAGAATAATAATATCTGTTGTTAGCGGTGGTTGGGCGGCTATCATTGCTTCAATATTTACAGTTGTTTCTGATTTGGTAACTGTTGTCTTCGCAGTTGAAGTTTCAACGTCTTTTTTTATTTCTTTTGCTGGTTTAATAGCAGTTACTTCAAGTTTAGCTGGTTTTTGTGCAGTTATTTGAGGGAATATTCTTTCAGCTATTCGGATTGAAATATTGACCCGATTCTGAAAATTTGTTTCTGCTTGTCAGATATATCCAAATAAAATATACAGTTTCTAGTCCTAATGTCATTACACTGAAAGTAAACAACAGTTTAAATCTTTTAAAACTTTCAAAAATTTTGCTAACTTGAGAAGATGCAGAAAAAAATTTTTTTTGTTGATAATGATCATTTAAAGTTGATATTTACAAGTAATTAATAGTAATTAATTTTTTAGAATTATACAGCTATAACATTGATACACTTAAAGTTACCTGACTGTCATAAAATTTGGTAGCATCTATAAGATCTGCTGGACTACTACAAATATCCAGGAAATCGCTAATTTGAGTGTTTAAGACCACAGTAATGAACTGTGTTCTGTAGTTGTGATAGTAAATAAAGTCAGCAGCTGTGTTATGGTCTTTTCCTTTACCGCTGACGAATGTTATTATATGGCTTGGATAATTTTCTCCATTACCTTTATCTAACTGATCGAACGTTCTGAAATATCGTACTTAATATTCCTACAATAATATAAAATTGCTTGAATATTTCAGTATGTAATTTATTTGAAAACTGACAACTTCATTTTAGCACATAGGGTTATTTGCTAATATTCTGTTTTCTAAACAAATACCCTTTTTTTTTTTTATAAATAAAATTTAGTTATTCTAAATTTCATTATGTTTTTAAATGTTTAAAAGTCTGGTGGCATTTTTTAATACTTTTTATTTTGATCACATTTTTTTTTGGTAACTTTAAGACGAAACTACAGCCATTATTAGTTTATCTTTATTTATTTTATTTTTCACTATTAATCTTAGATTGTCTTACTTTTAGTTATGCATTTTGTGTACTAAAAAATAATTCAAATTAAAGATTTTAACGAAATCAAACAATTGTTTAAACTTATCCATTGATAAACAAAAGTGTTCCGTTATTGTGCACTCTGATTAGGTGAGCATATGCATAAAAATTTAAGTTTTTTCAAGGATGTGCTATTTATCATTTATGGTTTCAAAATAAATTTGTAAGCTATTTAAATATGTACATGCTAGTAATACATTTGTATTATTTTATTAGATTTAGTAATTAAATTAAATTCTCAAAATCTAATCAATCTTGTAATCAAACTTACTGTCCCAAGAAATTCTCGTCTAGTGGTGTCATGAAGGTGGTCAATTTGGCCAATTTTGCACCTACAAGTTCTGGTTCTAGGTCGGAGTTGTTCGCTAATGGTACGTAATTTTCGACGTCCGGACTAAGATCGAACGCATAAGGAATGATTTGAATTGACGATTGTTTAGTGTCTCTTTCTTGCAATTCTTTTAGCAAATCGTCACGTAAAAACTGTATTTGCTGAAAAAAAAAAAACAAAAAAATAATTTTTTATTTTAAGGAGTTATAAAAAATAACTTCATTCTTTCAAAGCATAATTTATTTTCTGTCATTTTTTATAATTAAACTAAACTTTTAAGTGTATGTAACAGCGTTACTGCTTATGACAAATATTAAATTCTAGAAACTTTTTTTATCGTTTAAACTTAGTTATTTACTAGCCTGTGTTAGTTGTGACTGTGTGACCAGCGATGAAGCATCAACAAGAATAACGATTCTGTAACTATTAGGTTTTGGAACAGGTGATGGTGTAGGTCTACGTGTTGTGGTGGTTGTTGGAACCGTTGTGCTTGATGCAGTTCCAGTAACTGGTCCAAGCGAAGTTGTGGGAGGCGTGGTTGTAGCCGGTGGTTCCGTTTTATCGGCAACTTCTCCAGATAGCGTTTCCATTTGCTAAATGAAACATTTTTTATTCATGTCGTGATATGAATAATGGTTTAGTTTTTTTTTTCTGTGGAATACTGTTTGATAAAATTTAAGCTGATTTTTTTTTAATGTCTAAATAATTTGTTGAAATATAGATGCAACAATTTCAGCCACCTCATCCGAAAAACATCTTTAACAAATATAATTTATACAGTCGATAAGCACACAAAACCTTACATTTTCATCGCCGGCAGCTACACAGGTAGCATTGAAAAAAGAACTACTGGATGCTAATTCTTCTAACGCCGTCATATTTTCCATCAGACCCAAAACCATCATTTGATGTCCAGCATTTTTGATATCATTTGCTGCTGTGGCTGCTGCAAGACTGTTTATTCCAATTCCTGAAGCTTGCAGTACAACTGAAGCTTGCACTTTCTTTAACAGCTCACGTTTGATGTCTTCTAATGACCTGAATAATAACATTTTATTTTTTAAGTTATTTCTCTTTTTCACCCACTTTTACTTGTTTTTATTTTTCTACAGTTTATTCAAAATTTAAATGTTTAGGTGTATGTGAAGCACAAAAATGGCTGATTATATAGTGAGATTATTGTTTAACCGAATGGCTAATACCTTGAAAATAAAATTTTTAAGACAGGTATTTGGAAAATTAATAAGCCTATCTCTGTATAACTAAAAAGAGAAGAATAAAGACGAGCAAAAAAACGTTATTTTTTACTGAATTGAAACTGTTACTTTCCTTTAATTTTCTACAGCAATCTTGTCTCAAAAACTCTGATCACTATAATAGCCTTAAATAAATCAAAAAAATTAAAATGACGCCGAAGCTGATAAGTAAAAAATTGTAAGAAGAAGGCTTGGTATATTTACTTTGATAAATCAATTCCGCCTTTGATAGGCAAATTCCTTATTTCTGTGATCATCGACTGAACTGCTTCGTTGTCATCAAGGCTTGCAAACTTCAGTGGTGTAGATGTACTAAATGGCAAAGAATTTCAATAAAAGTTATTTATTCTCTCAGTACACAATTACTCTTAAGTCAATAAGACAATAAAATGTCGGGAGATTGACAAAATATGTAAAATCATGATTGCAAATATATCAGTTAAGTACCTGACACCGTCGGAAAACCCAACAGCAAGAAATTGAACATCTACACCTGAGTTACCTTTTGCATAGCTGTCTTCAAGGTCTTTAGCGAGATGGGCAGACAAAAATTCTTTTTTAAACTTTGGAATCAGATGGCGAGACAAAAATGTCAGTTCCTGCAACGGTTTCCTTTATGACGAGCAACAAAAGAAGTTTATTGAGTCACCATGCTTTTGAATTTATTTCTTTCTTCTAATTTTTTTAAATATCTTCTTTCCTACTGTAACTTTTGAAAGACTCTGTAGGAAGCAAGCAAACCTTATTTGAATAAAGAGTTGTCAGTAACAATTAGACTTTAGTATGAATAAGAAAAACAATTCCAGCGTTATTCTTTCTGCTAGGTATCTTTCTGTTACGCAGTTATGAACAGCAGAAACGGTAACAAAAGTTGCAGTAGTTAGGTAATAATATTAACAACAAAGTCAGTTACTTATACCACATTTAACTGTCTTTATGCTGCAAAAGAATGTACAAGTTTTCTAGATTTTTTCTTGTTGCAACAAACTGTTTACACTGTGGACCCTATTCTTAGCAGTTTCTTCTGTCAGCAGCTTTTTAAATACTTCTCATAGCTTGCTAATAGATAACTGGGTCTCAAAAAAGCATAATAAAAAGAAATCAGATTATTAGGTATTTCAAACTGTTTAATACCGGCAAGCTAAAAGAACTTCTATCTTAATTTTTGACAAATTAAAAACAGCATAAAGAAATGAAGATCAGTTTGCAGTTACGTAAACCAGTTCTGAACTGATTAAAAATGGCCTTATTCAATTTTATCTTTCTTAAACACACAACGCTAGTCACAGAAGCAGTAAATTAGAAGTTTTTCTTCAGAATCTTCCAACTCTGCTTAGATACAATATTTTAACATTTTGAATCTTTAAAGTGTAAGTAGCTAGTACGAATATGAAACATTAGCTGCTTATTTTACGACTAAATAAACGGATACGATCAGCGGTATTTGAAGACATCAAGATCCACTTAAAATAAGAAATCAGAAAATTTTATCATCTACTTTTTTACAAAACTGTAAAAAATATGCACCATTTTAACCTTTTTTTTTTTCGGAGAGTTCTTTGCCAACCTTTGATTGTATTCAAATCAGATGAACAATGAAAAAAAAAGATCTGTTTAAGAAAGACCACGTGAATTGCTATGCGCTGTGAAAGAGCATCGAACAGATGGTGAAGTGGCTTTACGTTGGGCATAAATGCTCAAGCATATTGGAAATCTCAACATGCTCTACGACATATTCCGTAAACAGCTAAAAAAACTTCAAATAATTGAGAAAATTTACAAAAAATTTGCTATTGTACTAGAAGTTACCCAGAAACTTCCCGTGAAGAATGCTGCTGAAGAAAAAAATAGGCAAGGAAAGATTTTGCAGCATTAGACTGCTTAAAAAAACGTTTCAGGGAACATCATTAATTAACCCATGTTAGAAACTGAGCTTTGACAACTAATAATTAGATTCTAGAAGATCACTTTTTCAAAAAATTGAGAAACTGACTTGAAACTAAAAGTTTCTAGCAGACGAGAAATTGTTAATTGAAATCAAATAAAGATATCTCGAGAGAAAGTTTTGTGAGGTCTAAATAGCTGTTACAAGAAACTGATTGCTGCAGTTTATACAAAGTGTTCACATCAGATAATGGTGCGGTAACCTAATATTAGACTTAAAAAATTGATTGAGTAGAAGTTGATAAAAAGCAACACTGAACTTTTTTTTTAGAAATTTGAATTTATGATCATTTTAGTGTTAACGCTGGTAAAACACTAAAGAAAAATTATTATTTTGTGAAAAAAGCGTTAAATTTTACTGAAGAATTCATTTATCATTTACAACAACTATGCTTTCAAGGCATTTTAAAGTCTTCATACAAAATCTGGTATTTCTTAGTCTTTAAAAACTTACTACAAATATTACTTTTGTTCCTATTTTTAACAACTGTATGATGCATGTTGAGGGCACAATGCCTAGCTGCATAAATAGCATCTGAAGCACAAATTTTGCTTTTATAAATTCGACTAGTTTCTGTCTTGTTCGCTTTACAAAACTATATTGTTATCAGTAATTCTATTTTAAACTAATTCCAACAGCTGGTCAAACCTGATGCCATTAAGCAGCTTTTACAAGACGTTATCTTGAAATAAACCATAACAAAACCATAAAACCATGAAAGTATTAAACTTTGCACCACCTTATATAAATATGTACAAACAATTTCTTTTCATACAGTTTTTTTCGATTTTACAGAATTTTTTTGACCAACAGCAATTGAAGGATATCAAAGATATTAACCGTTCAAGACGGATACTATGTGTCCTAAAGTCGATTAATGACTTTAACGTCTACAATAAAAAAACTCATGGATTAGATTACTGCTTGGGAATTATCAAAAAATAAATTCAAATAGCGAAAAAAAGAAGACCAAAATTGCAAAAAATAAGCACATATAAAGCAGTAAGCATTAATAACAGTAATAAAAACTAAACAAAAAAAAGAAGTAAATGAACTCTAACATTCTCCTTTATTGTTGAATTGATATTTTCCGACGTATCCACCATCGCAACAATTGTTTTTGAAAGCTTTTGTGGTTGAGCTGTTGTCGACGTATCCGTCTTTGAATCATTGTCATCGTCATTTTCTAAAAAGAATCAAAATTATTTATACCAGCACTTATTATGCCGTCAATATTTCTGGTAAAATTCATCAAAAATTTGTATACTTATGCTGGAAATACTTACGTCTAATGACAATTACAATGAGAAGTGCAACTGCTATAATTAGGAGAAGAAGAACAAGTGTAGCAAAGATATACATAAAACATGTTTTTTGTTTTCCATTTCTTGAAGCTTTGGACATGATGAATCGAATTTACAAAATTAACCAGAAGCAACAGCAATAATTCGGTGACAATTATCAATAACAGTAGAAATTGTACTTCGTCTTAGCTGATAACAGAAACTGATACATTATGATATATATATGTAAATATATACATAACTGTTGTCAGTAACATTATTATTGTTTAATAGTTAAACATTCCATTTCAAATATTTTCTGATTTTTTCTCTGTACAATTTTTTAATGCTTTGATAATATAATGGTTTTTTTAGGTTAAAAAAATGGTAATAATTTTTGTCAGTTCTTAATAAGACACATATCAAATACGGCGCTACCGAAGCACATCTGTTTGTCAACTCTTTAAAACTATAAATAATTGTGCATTAATTTTTTAGTGCTAACTATTAAAGTTCTATGCTTAAAGTTCTATCAAAATTTTTAAATTTACACAAATTAATTTTTTTTATTACTTATAAAACCTTTTAACTGTAACTGTATTATTCTTCAGAACTTAAACTTACCGCTGGTGATTACAAGAAAAATCAATAATTCTATAAACTAGATTTTTTTCTGTTGAGTACATGGGTAGTTTTACAATTGATACATTTAGATAAAATTAAAAAATTAACTAAAAAAATAATTATTTATTTAAGACAAGTGTAAATTTAAAAAAAAAATAGGTTGCTGTGTTTAAACAGTTTTTAGTGTAACATGAACTTTTTTTTCAGTTATGCACATTATTTATTTTATTAAAATGCTTTATTTAAAAGTAAAAAGTTGATGAAAAAAAAGAAGCAAAAAAGCGGTGAAAGTAGAATAACTTTTAAAGTTTAGTAATCAAATATGCTGCTTAAGCTGCTCAGTCTTTATGCTAGGAATCAATTATTGCTGCTCTGTAAGCATAGATTTAACAGCACAGTGATCATAATCAAGCCAAAAAAAAATAGACAAAAGTTTTAAGACTAACACTGGAAAAGCAAATTTATTGAATACTATGAATAAATAAGAGTCTTCTAAAAATGTGAAGATTACAGATTTTTTTTTTTTTTGTGAAAAAGGAGACTTTAAGCTTACAAAAAGTGTAAATGAAGAAAGAGTTATAAAAAATGCCTGTAGAAGAGGTTGAGCAACAAAAACGATATTTATTAAAGAAAAAAAAGATTAAAACCAATGAGTTTTTTGTTGCCAGCAACTTTGTTTGAGGTCGTTCAGAAAAAAAACCCATGTTCTGGAGAATTAAGTGTCTTTAAAGTATGCAACAACAGTAATGACGATAAAACCCTGGTGCAGCACATATATAGCGGTGTTAACTTCAGATGCATTTGTCTTACGACTGCAGATGCATTTGGTCTGCCGTTAAATTAAATATCGAAGTTTACACTGAACAAATTAGGCAACTGTTGCCTAAATAAACGTTATAAGATGTAACCCATTTAAGCACAACTTACATCAGAGAAATTTATTTGTTGCAGATTAGGTTTATCTACATCTATATAAAGTTTTAAAGATTTTTTCTTCAACGCAGGACTCTGATCGTAAGAAGACGTTGTTAGATACAAATATAGCTGCTGTTACAAAACGAATTAGAGACAGCTATAAAATGATATGTATGTAGTTGGATAGCACTAAATAAAGTTTTAATGTAAAGAAAAAAAGAAGATAGTTACATAATGATATCAAAATCTTAGTCTTATAAGATGGCGAAAAAGATTTGTAGGCTAAAGTAACAGTTACTAGTTTACAAAACAAAACAGTAATACCAGAGCTAACAAGTTTAATCATTTTGCTATCTGTATTGTTGTCGAATTAGAAAAGATACCAAGATACCAGTAGAAAAGATACCAAGATACCAGTAGAAAAGATACCAATTTTTGACAATCAAGTATCTCCTTTCTTGGTACAATGCAAATCAGGCTTCAACTTATAGCAGTCTGATGGTGTTCGATGTTGTAAACAGCTTCTTGCTTTTTGTTCATCTGACACTCTTTTCAGTTGTATAGTTTAGCACCAGCAATTTAATTAGCAAAATCTATGCTGTAGGGCCAGAAAATTGTTGTTCCTTAGGTTGATTCACCGTTGTTGTGCATCTCATTCTTTTCGGTATATTCCCCTTATAATATCAGTTTTCGGTATCAAACCCCCTCCCCCCCCCTCAGAGTATCACCTTGTCATATGACAAAAGAAAAGATTGCAAAACGACTATCTTTTCTCAGAAAGTGTTCTTCCGTTTCTAAGCTTTCTAATCTACTAAACAACAGTTTCGAAAGTCAGCAGAAAAATATAGCTTAGAAAAAGTCACACCTCAAAGTAACAAACGGTCTTACTTTTTGTGAAATTATTCTGCAAAGCTATTTTTAATTTGTTTTTTTGCCGTTTTAGTGGACCGCTTCAATAGTCGCATCATAAAATGGAGATTTTGTGGTGGTCAAACATTTGGCGGAAAAAAAGCCGACGTCAATGCAAAAGCGCAAAACGTGGTAAAAATTTTACAGTAAAGTAAAAACATTTCTGAACTATTTCGAATTTCGTTTTCGAACTGAAATTGTAATACAAAAAAAAAAAAAAATTCCAAAAATCTGGGCTTTCATTTAGACTGGTGGCCCCATCATGCTGATTGGCTGAAGACAATGATGCCAATCAGAGGCCCGCTTTTTTCGAACAGTACGTGGATGCCACATAAAGTATGTGTAACTCACTGATAACGATGAGAGATACCTCCTCAATACTCTGATGCACAGCCTGCAAAACCCGTCTAGATTTGGTTGCATACAGTTATGTAGGGAACTCGGAAGACGGTCGTGTTCTACTCTTTTTCTCCGTCCCAACGGGCAGGGTTTCTTTGGAAAAGAATCTCCCAGAGAAACCTTGCTCACCTTGGCGGAGAAAAAAAACGGAGCCACCACTCTAAATGAGCTACTAAATTTTACACTAGCGTCCCTCATTAGAAGGACTTTCCAAAAACTGGGCTGCACTGAAAAGTGCATTGGCAGTCAAAGAGCTTTCTCCGCCCCTACGTTTCCTGAGAAAGAGAAAGGCAGGACAGAATTCAGAAATTTGGGACCATAGACAGTAGAACGAGTCCTCCTTAAACAGCTTCTTCCAAATGAACTATGCAAGATAGCTGTCCAGCAGAGTCCGTAAAGCCCCATACCGCTCCTTATGCCCCTCTTTAAATTTTTCCCAAACTGACTCAATGGTGTTTGTGCGGGCACCGTTAAGAGCATCAGTAAATTGCAGCTTGTGATTTACCGTAAGATGCTGGTACACTTCAGGCAGGTCTTGAATGCCGTCATAAGCTGCCCACTTATTCAAAATAACAGTAGTACCCAGGAGGATATACTGCCGGACAAGCGGCACAGGGGTAGCAGCATTCCTGTGCCCAACTGCAACAATAAAGCACTTATTGCTCCCTCTCTTGACCCCACCAAAACACCACTGATGTGGAACAAGCCTTCCTTTATTAT